TCCCCGCCCCCCGGCTGCATTTGGCAGCCCTAAGGTGAATGCCTAGTTCGCCTAGTGGGTGAGCCGGCCCTGGGTTCACACAGGCTTCTTCGTAACCTGTGAATTGACCCTTTTCTTCATCTCCCTCCCCACAGAGCGCATCGACCTACCAAAGGCGGTCATGCTGCTGAGCACCATCTCCGGCTCCTGCCTCTTCTTGGGCATGGTCACCTGTGCCCTTGAGTAAGTGGCGCCGAGGGGAAGAATAAGAAGAAGAGGTGTCTGGAGACTGCAAAGTGGGGGGGGGGAGAACGGGATGGGAAGGGCTCTGTGGAAGTCTCTGGGGGAGAAAGTGGGTGTGTTCATTGAGGACTGGGGAACATGTCGTACCGGACTGGCGTCCCCATGATGGTTCTCATGGGCACCGTGCCACCTACCAACACCTCTTTTGGTGCCTACCAAATGTGTTTAGGAAGTGGGCAGGGCCAGGTGGGCCTTTTTGCCATGCAAGGCTTCTGATTGGCTGTCAGAGATTTGATTGGCTGTGCAGGGTTTTTAAAAAACTTTGCTTTGGCAGCAGCTGCCACCACAGCGCCAGGATCTTCATTGTGGGACTGAAGGGAAGCTGTGGCAGCCATTTTGTGGCTGGCTTTGCCTCCTGAGGCAGCCATTTTGTGGCCATGCCTACCATGCTGTGCCAGAATTCCAGAGTTGCCCACGGGCTCTCAAAAGGTTGGGACGCCTGCCTGAGAACATCAGAGCTGCCTTAGTGGTTCCAACACCTGTTTTCCACAATGGCCAACCAGATGCTCCTGGAACTATCCCGAGGCCGAAACCTCCCTTCTGTTTGCTTCCCACCAGCAACTGGCATTGAGAAGTAGACTGTCCCGGAACATGGAGGTTCCATTGACTGATGACGGCTATCAGCCTTTGATGGACCTCCCCTCCAGGAATCTGTCTGAGGCTGGGGAAGGGCTGCGGTTCAGGCAGGGGTCATTTCCTGCGGGAGCGCACAGGAGCGGAGCTCCGGCAGTAAAGAGCCCAGGGGGCGGGCACATGCAACAAGCCCCTCAGGGGTAGAGAACCTGCTTGGCATGCAGAAGGTCCCAGGTTCAATCCTCAGCGGTATTTCCAGGGAAAAGAGGGATCAGGCAGCAGGTGGCACCGAAGGCCTCAGTCGTCTGGGTCCGCTGCCGGTCAGAGGAGCAAAGACTGGCCCTGAGAGACGGGGGCGGGGTGGGAGGGTCCGGCTCCTCAGGTGTGCCCGTCTTGATTCACCCCAGAGCTGGATAGGCAAATCCCCAGCGACCTGGACGCAGCAAGGCCATCATCTTGTGACACTTCTGCCTGCAAACCATCACTGTGAAGCACGTTAAGGTTGGGAAATACCTGGAGATTTGGGGGGGTGGAGCCTGAGGAGGGCGGGGTTTGGGGCGGGGCTTCAGTGGGATAGGATGCCATAGAGTCCACCTGCCAGAAGAGGCCATTTTCTCCAAGGGAACTGATCTGTCTCGTCTGGAGATCCCCAGGCCCCACCTGATCAGGGTGCCAAAACTGATTGGTACTGACTGGGGTTGGGGTCTTTCTTTTTGTCCTTCTAGATTCCGATTCCAGGCGGGGATGGCAAGGGACTGAGTGCCCGAAGGGGGGGAGAGGAACGTCGGGACTCCCCACCCCCAAGAGTGTCCTTCCGTGGCCGCAAGACTGGAGTTTGTGTTTGGGGGTGTACAAGTGGGCACACGGGAGGCGTGAGCTGGCACGAGCGTGACTGAGGAGCCTGCAAAGCCGTGTGAACAATCGTGTGTGCCGGCGTCCCAGAGTGTGGGCGAAGGGGCCAAGGGACGTGCCTGTATGCGTGTGTGCACATGCGGGAAAGGCATCGGTCGATACAGTGAGCGTGTTGAGTCTGCACATGGATCGCTGGAAAGCCAGAGGGAGAATACACTGTGCGTGTGTGCAAAAGCTGCGCAGAGAGGCCCGCAGAAGCTACCCACAACCTGCCGCGATATTCCTGTTGCCACTCGGGTCCTTTGCAGCCCACCAGGAGTTTCTGCAGGGGAAGGCCTCTCACACCGCCGCAGGAGAGGCGCCCATCTAAGCCACCATGCTGCCCTGAAGCCTTGGCCGTGGCCGTGTGGAAGCCAAACGCCGCAGATGCACAATGCCTCACATGCTGGCACATGGGGAAAGCCAACCAGGGCCGGGGAGTGGGACATCATCTCTTGTTTGCTGTGTTGCTGCTGTCGCCTCAACCGATTAAATCCTTGGCTTGCCGATTGATTAAAAAACGTTGCTTGCACAAAGGTCCCCCGGAGGCTTTTCCCTTTCTCGGGGCCTCCTCCACGCCCTTCCCTCTCCGTGACCTTCAGGTTGCCAGATCCGGGACATGCGGGAAAGGCATCGGTCGATACAGTGAGCGTGTTGAGTCTGCACATGGATCGCTGGAAAGCCAGAGGGAGAATACACTGTGCGTGTGTGCAAAAGCTGCGCAGAGAGGCCCGCAGAAGCTACCCACAACCTGCCGCGATATTCCTGTTGCCACTCGGGTCCTTTGCAGCCCACCAGGAGTTTCTGCAGGGGAAGGCCTCTCACACCGCCGCAGGAGAGGCGCCCATCTAAGCCACCATGCTGCCCTGAAGCCTTGGCCGTGGCCGTGTGGAAGCCAAACGCCGCAGATGCACAATGCCTCACATGCTGGCACATGGGGAAAGCCAACCAGGGCCGGGGAGTGGGACATCATCTCTTGTTTGCTGTGTTGCTGCTGTCGCCTCAACCGATTAAATCCTTGGCTTGCCGATTGATTAAAAAACGTTGCTTGCACAAAGGTCCCCCGGAGGCTTTTCCCTTTCTCGGGGCCTCCTCCACGCCCTTCCCTCTCCGTGACCTTCAGGTTGCCAGCTCCGGGTGGGGAAATACCTGGAGGTCGGGGGCGGAGCCGGAGAAGGGCAGGGTTTGGGGAGGGGAGGGTACAGTGCAGTGGAGTCCACCCTCCAAAGCAGCCATTTTCTCCAGGGGAACTGATGAGATCATTGGTAAGAGCAGGAGATCTCCAGGCCCCACCTGGAGCTTGGCATCCCAAGTGTCACTCTGCTCCTGCCATCCAACTGAGGCATGTTTTGCCCCTTCCCATCCAAGCAGGGATCTGTAGGCGTCTCTGAAGCAGCCCCAGAACCTGTTTTTACAGCCAAGCGAATGTGAATTAGTAAGCTGACAGAGCCTCTGAGCATGTGCAAACAACCTTTCCATGGTCACGGCCAGCCTGGCCTGCCCTGGGTGAGCAGGCTAGTGGTTCAGATGAGAGGCTGCCTCTGATCCCAGCCAATTTTCTCCCTCCCACATTTTTTTGGGGGGCCACTGAAGGCCAATGTCTCCCCAGGCCTGCCAAGGAAAACACGAACGGCTGCTTTTAATTAAGAAGAGCTCTGCTTCTAATCTGCCATCATCTGGGCCTTTATTAGCAAAGCTCTGGAGTCTTTGAGGTCCCGGCTGTGCCGCTCTGGGCATGTTCGGACAAACTTTCCGTGCGGCGCTTCTGCAACGGGCCACCAGAGAAACCACCTCTGGGACAAGCGCCAAGTTGGCCTCCTTGGGAGAGAGAGGCCTGACGATCCGACCCCAGAGCATGGGGGACGCCTGGGTGGGCTCCCACCTCAACCTCCCCCCCAAAGCCCTTTGAAGCATTTGCACGACTCCAGTGACTCACATTTTAAGAAATGCTTCTGACTGATGCAAAGATCTTCATGAAACCAGCATGTGTGAATGCAGCCAGTTTGGTGTAGTGGTTAAGTGTGTGGACGCTAATCTGGGAGAACCGGGTTTGATTCCCCACTCCTCCACTCGCAGCTGCTGGATGACCTTGGGCAAGCCATAGTTCTGTCAGAGCTGACCTTGAAAGGGTAGTTTCTGTCAGAGCTCTCTCAGCCCCACCCACCTCACGGGCAATGTTCCCTCTAAGCCGTGGAGTCTCATGAGCAAAAATTCTACTTTGTGAGCTACTGGCATTAAAGTTGTGAGCGAGCGATTTGGCTACTGCATAAACTAGTTTGCTCTTGAGCCATCCTTCCTGAGCTAAGACAAAAA